CCCGCGCTCGGGGCGGGGGCGGCGGGGCGGGCCGGTGTCGGGGCCCGCGCTCGGCGCTGGCACAGGAAGCGGCGGGGTCGTCCCGCGGGCATGGCCGCAGCACCCGGGGCTTGTTGCCCCGCCGCGGTGCGCGGAGGACCCCCGCGCCCCTGCAGCCGTCCGCGGGCCGGTTCCTCCCCCACAAAGGCCCTGTGAGACCCGGCCCGCCTCCCCGCTGGCGCAGCCATCCGCCGTGAGGACGAGGGCTCGACGACCCTGACCGAGGCGCCTCGCGAAGCCCAGCGCAGGGAGCGGACGGCACGGAGGTGCACACCCGCCCCGGGCTCGCCGGCCGTTTCCTGTGACGTGTGGTCGGCTGTCCTTTGGACTGCTTGTACCATCTTAGGGGTCTCCTCGCCGAGCGAAGTAAAACCCTTGGCGAGTGTGCCTTGGTAAGAGTCACGCCGTTCCTGCCCCCGCCCAAGTCGGCCCGGGGGCCCAAGCGGCCCCTGGCTGCACCCTCTCTCCCGCCTGGGCCGAGGTGCACGAGTGGACAGCAGGCGCTCTGTCGGACCTCCGGCACCAGCGGCGCTTGCTCAAGGACCACGGCCCGCCTTCCCTCCGCGGAGTCCCGGCGTCCTTGGCGGCTCAGCACCGGGGCCCTTCCTGAGCCCCTGACGGGCCGTGATGCAGGTGCCAGGCGAGGGCATCACGGCCGCGTGGCCGACGGCGCGCTGCCCGGAGCAGGACCTGCTGGGGGGCAGTGCACACGCTCACTGTGCACGCGGCACACTGACGTTCCCAGGGACGGAGCCCCACACACGGCGTCCGCCCGCTCTGTCCAGGGCACAAGCCGCTGTACGCTCCACCGTGTAGGAAGCTGTTTGTCAAGTCAAGTAAAACCACCCTGATCCGCAGCCCCACTGCTAAAAGCGCAGGCTGCACCATCCACCTCACGTCCCCTATGAAAAGCAAGTTCCCCACCTCACGGGGAACCGGGGTCGGAGGCTAGTCCACAGCCCCTCAGACACCCTGCAAACCCAGACCTGGGAGCCAACGGGACACACGGGCGTTCCGAGTCGTGGTAAGGAACAAATGAGGGCACCTGGAGATTCTAGAGCTCAGCCAACCAACGTGGGTGGGGGCCTTGCTGGGACCCTGGTTCACCCCGACCCGCCGTGGAGCACGTGTGAACATGCACACGTGTGCGTGGGATGGCAGATGCCGTGGGGGGTGTGCACGTAGGAACACGTACGTACACACAGGTACACACACGCGAAGATATTAAGACAGCTGGGGAAAGTTGGGCATCAGGTATTTGACTAAAGAATTTGAGGTGTGAAAATGGTTCACTGCCAAAGCTTTTGGGAAATTCTCTTGTAGAGCCCGTGTGTATTCACTGCTTCGATCATGAAGCGTCCGCGATTTCTACTAAACAAACCGGGACGGCCGCAGGAAACAAGATGTGGTTAACAGGTGAAGCTGAGGGGCACCTGGCGGGCTCAGTCTGCAAGAGCGTGTGACTCTCGATCTCAGGGTTGGGAGTTTGAGCCCCAGGTTGGGTGGAGTTTACTTAAGTCTTTTAAGGGGCGCCTCGGTGGCTCCGTCGGTTGAGCGACCAGCTCTTAGTTTTGGCTCAGGTCATGATCTCGGGGTCGTGGGATTGAGCCAACATTGGGCTCTGTGCTCAGTGGGGCATCTGCTTGGGATTCTCTCTCCCCCTGCATGCGTGCTCACTCTTTCTCTAAATAAATCTTTAAAAAAAAAAAATTATTTTGGGAGGCACCTGGGTGGCTGTCGTTAGGCGTCTGCCTTCGGCTCAGGTCATGGTCCCAGGGTCCTGGGATCAAGCCCCGCATTGGGCTCCCTGCTCCGCGGGAAGCCTGCTTCTCCCTCTCCCACTCCCCCTGCTTGTGTTCCCTCTCTTGCTGTGTCTCTCAAATAAATAAAATCTTTAAAGACAATTTTAAAAAATTATTTTTTTAAAGTTGACTGATAAAGCCAGCAAGATTCTATGCTCATATATGCTTGAAATGATCCAAAATAGTTTATTTTTAATGAATATACTAGAAGATAATCCCCAAAATGTCAGTGGTAGCACGAACCCAGGTGGTTTATGATCCTTGCCTATTTGCTTTACGATGTCAATAATTAACACAAATAGTAACTTTCATAGTAAGAAAAAGTAGTTTTTAGTAACTATGAGCTTTCCGCCAGAGTGGGCCGCCTGAGCAGCAGAAGGGCCGGTGAGCTTCCAGCCCCCACCCTGAAAAGAACTGCACATTAAGAAAAGTGAAAAAGTCTTATGGGACAAAATTACAAGACATGAAAATTTTTATTTTTAAAAGAGAGAATGTATTTTTACACAAATCTACAACAGAGAATTCAAACGTAGAAAAAATAAACTATATCCAAGGGCACAGAGCTCCGTGTCCACGCCCCCCTGCTCCCAGGGGCGGGCAGCAATACCTTCGTGCTTCCTACCAAAATGTGGCAAACCAGGCCCCCCCACAGCCCCTCGAGCGCTGACCACATGTCACTCCAGCAGGACAGCCCACCTGCCGTCCACCTCCTGGGGAGAGACCGGGGAACCAGAAGGAAGCCAGTTTCCACATGCCTTCTACCAGAATGGTCAGCGCTGTCCAAGTGACAGTGGCCACTGGAAGGGGCCCCAGAAGCCCATCGAGGGCAGCCCCCTACTCCCCCTCCCAGGACTCAGGGCCTTAGGAAAGGCAGGGCGGGCGCAGCTCCAACGGCAGACCCAGCACAGGCAGGGCCCGCACTTCAGCCACCTGGTGCTGGTGGAGGAGGGGGGTGTGGAGGGGGGTCCCACGCCTGGGATCAGCACAGCACCACCCCCGCTCCCCCCCACTGTTGGCAACCGCGCTGCTGGAGGTTCCCACGCACACCACCACGTAGGCCCGCCGGAGCGGGCGGCTCCCAGTGCCGGCCCCAAGGCCCCCAGAAAGCCTGCAGGTTCCGAAGCCCAGACTGAGCCCGGGCCTCGGAACTGGGGTCTCCTGCAGCCGGGTGGCCGGCTCCTCTCCAGCTACACTTCCCCGGGTTGTTCCCGGCCCCCTGTAACGCACTCCTACCTACAGGGGAGGCAAGTCCTTCCCGTGGCCATCCTCAACTTCCTGCCACCAAGGAGACTTTTCGAAAAGGGGCCGAGCGCACGTGGGCCTGGCGGGAGAAGCCCAGTGCGGCGGCCAGACTCCTACCTCGTATCACAGCTTGTGGCCGTGCGTGTCGGGGACGCGGGGGGGGGGTGCGCAGGGAGCTCCGGGCGCGACACCACACTGTCGGCACAGGGACCACGAACTCCCACATAAGGGTCTCTACGCGGAAATAACCTTACAGTGTTCCGCGTTTTCCAGAAAGACTGTGAAACAACACTGGGCACGACTACAGGACCCGGTGACCACGGACCACGTCGCTAGAGCATCTACTGAACAGACAAGGGGGCCGGCCGCGGGGGCTCACAGCGCTTGCACTGGGTGCTTAGATACCAAAGAAGGTACAGAACATTTACTGGAAAAAAACACAACTCATGATAAATTGAACTTCACCCTTCTGTAATAAAAAATTAAAAATTTTTGTGACTCTGCTTGAACACAATACAGACTAGAAATTTCCCCAGACAGTGTGAGAGGGATCAGCAAGAAATGTCACCAGCAACTTCTAGAACTTTCTGGTGGCAGACACCCCCTCCACCACATCGTCCTCAGAGGCGGCTTAATCCAGGCCCGTCCCGACCCCCAGGCCCAGACCGAGGGGCGCCTTTCCAGACTCCGCGCTCCCGCCGCCGGGGCACCTTCCTGACCATCCCCCCCGCGGCGCCCACAGCGCCTAGCAGTCACTCTTCCAGAGCTTGATGGTCTTGTCATTCTCCAGCGCGGCCGAGGCGATGATGTTCTCTGTCGGGTGGCAGGCTGTCGAGATCACAACGTCTGAAACAGAGACCAGAGCCGACGTCCGCCCTCTGGTGCAGAGACCTGCTCCGCCGCCCCAGGGTCGCGCCCCCAGGGCCCCCGCCACTGGCCCCCAACGCTCACAGCCCTGTGCTGTGCCACCCACACCAGGACACAGAGCAGCACAGCAGGCGGCCACGCCGGTGGGAAGGTGGCAGGCGGCATGACACAGCGGCCTCCGAGAAAACCAGTGTCGGCCCGCGGCAGCAGAGCGGGCTCGTGGAGCCTGGCCCGGCACCCAGCGCGCTGGGTCCCAGCGGGTACAGAGGAGCCCCAGTCTCGCCACGTGGACAACGTTCCCGTGCTCACCGGGACCAGAGCCCACGCTCCCGCCACCCCCCACTGCTGCTGGGCCCAGGCACACTCTGCAGGGCACGCTTTGCCTCCACCAGGGATGTGAGAGTCCATGAGCTGACACCTGGGGCTACACCCCAGAACTTTCCCACTTCCCGAGCAGCTGCATCCCGAGCAGCTGCAAAGGGGCTGAGTGTCCTGCCGATGCAGTGGTGGGTGGGCCAGAAACAACCGAGGCACGGGGCTGCTCCCAAGGAGCTAAGCCACGTGGGCAGACCACAAAAAAGTGGCAGCTGACCTGCAGGTCTAGGCCGTGTCCCTAGCGGGTAGAGGTGGCTTTAAGGGATGACAATAGAGGACTCAAAGGATCGGACAATCGCTCTCCCCAGAGTGCAGGCGGGGAGAGGGGCGGCCTCTGGGGTCAGAGGGCCCAGCATGGGCGGCGGCTCAGAGTGCAGAATGCAAGGCCCCCAGGGAGAAGGCGGGTGAGAGAGCAACCAGAGCCTCTAGCCCACAGTGGGTGTCCCCTGCCCCACGCTTGTCTCGACGAAGGACACACATACACACACACGAGCCACGTCCGCACACGGAGCCTACATGGACCGTGAGGCCAGGCAGCCAGAAAGATGACCATGGAGAGAAGTTAAAGCCGGACCCGACCTTGGCCAGACGGGAGCTCGGACAAAGCCACCTGCCAAGGGCTCCGAAACGGGGGGCGCCCCCAGGCCACCAGAAGGCCGAGGAAGAACACGAGAAGCAGGCGGCACGACAACACACAGCACGCACACCATCGTTGTGTAGCGTGGGTGTGAGGCCGGCACAGATCCCCGCGCTCACCTGTGTGGCCCTGTAATTTCTGTACGATCTCCTTGGTCTGCAGATTCCAGATGTACACCAGGTTGTCCTCGGAACCAGACACGATCCACTAGGAACAGGAAGATGAGCAAGAGAAACCCAGGTCGGGGCTGGCTCGTGGGCAAGAGTCCCTGTCCCCACACGTCCATGCCCGCCCCAGGGCGGCGCTCACCCTCCCAGCACCGCCCACAGAGAAACGGGAGGCCGCGCTGGGCCGTCGCAGCCCTCTGGGACCTGCATCATTTCCTCCAATCACCACTCTCTCAGGGTCACGTCCGGGTCTGCCAAACGCCACCACCCACTCAAGTCACGTCCCGCTTAGGCGAGCACATGAGTGGGGCCCCGGGCTGGGCAGCAGAACCCTCACAGAGACAACATTGCGCCCCACACCCCGAACCCTCTGCCTCCATGAGGGAGAAGCCGACCGTCCCAGTCACCGGTACTTCATTCTGCGGGCACGGAGGAACGCCCGAAGGTATACAAGCCAACCTATGAGAGGGTCACCTCTCAGGAGAGACAGCTGGGAGGGCGAGAAGCTCCTGAGCTGGGAGAAAACTTACCTTCCCGCCAGTGACTGAGAAATTGGCAAAAATGCAGTATTTCTCATTCTTGTGGCCGGTGTATGTCTTCAGGCACTGCAAAGACAAGAGTGTCAGTATGTCTATCGAGTCACGATTTCCCTGCACTGTGGACAATTCCCGGCGTCTGGAATGCGGGCATTTCACGGCCGACTAACCTTAGCTCTGAGAGCACTCTAAACACCTAGGGTGCAAAGCCACGCGGTTGAAGCCTTCACCTGCAGCCTAGCGAGCTGCAAAATCCTGAGTCTGACAAACACCATGCCAACCCAATGAAGATGGCTTCCATTAGCCCTTCTTGCTTCAGACCCTGGTTCAGCGAAAGCCACAGCCCAGGGCCTCGGCACAACCCAGTCCCAGCAAGCCTGCCCCCAGCACTCACCTTCCCTTTGCTGTAGTCCCAGAGCTTCAGCGTGCTGGAAGGCAGAGGGGGGGCAGTGAGTCACCTGCATTCCCGCGAGTCCCTGCAGTCACTGTGTGCCCACCCCCACCATGTGCGCACATGTGGAGCGAAGCCAGGGCCCGGCCCCCCGCCCTCTGCAAGCGCGAGCACAGGGCCCGCCGTCTGTCGGCATCCGAGAGCACAGTCTGAGAGCCCCACACGTTTCTGCCACTAACCAGAGGCTACCGGGTGCCCCTGGAATCAGTCAGCGGCTCGTTCCCGCTACAAGAGGGAGGCAGGGAGGTTCCAGAAATGTCCAGAACAGATTTCAGTGGCAACAAGCAATCCCCTCCTTCCCTGGGCAGGAATTCGCTCTTCCCGAGGGTGCTGAGGAGAAGCGCCAACCCCATGGCCCTCTGGCAAGCTTGGGGGCCGGGCTCTGGGCCCCAGAGAACTGCCCAAAGTGCACACAGGGCAGCCAGAGGTTGAAGGCCCGCCCAGAGGGGGCAAAACTGGCCCCGTTGTTTGCTGGGGTGAAACCCAGGTGCTCATGGGCAGAGCCAGAGTTGCTCAGAGGCTGCCCGTGCCCCACAGTCGCCACAGAGAAACCTGGACCCCCAATCCTTCTTCAGCCCGGACACCCGGTCCCCAGCACAGCATATGCATTCCAGAAGCCTACACCTACCAGAAGCGTGGACCACGTACCGGGTTTAGACATCTCTTATCTCTACAAGTGCAACACTGCTAGGAGATAAACGTCCCCGGCCTGCCCCGCGGGAAGCGGCGGCACTTACTTGTCCAAGGTCGCAGCCAGGATGTACTTGCCATTTGGAGAGAACTTCACAAACGACACAGGAGGATTGTCGTCATCTGCATGGGAAACGCAGAGACAGGCTGATGGGAGGAGCGCCGGGCCTATGCCCGGGGAGGAAAGGAGAACAGCCCCCCATCACCACATGGGGCCATCCGAGTGGGGACGCTGCCACGGGTGCCCACACCACCACCTAGGATGGGTCCCCGAGGAGCCCAGCACACCTCCCTTCGCCCGTCCCTGGCGCCGGTCACAACGGCCGGTTCTCCTCGATGTTTCTCGGGTCCCTGGTGGGGGCCTGACCACCCCCTCTGCCACGACGGCTTTAGGAACAAAGGGCCTGTGGCCAATCAAACTCAGGGTGCCTGACCTTCCGCCAACATGGGGTTTGTAGGAGGACCCAGGGTCAATTTCTTCATGTGAAACAGTTTGCCAACACCCCGCTAGACTGAGAAGTATTGCCATTGAGGGAAAAAGGACCCGGGTGAATCATCTCAGATGTTTTCTGCCGCCTAATTAGAGCAAAAGGTCTGTAAACCCCCTCTAGAAACAACCCTGCCGGCATGATACCCGCATCCTTGCTTCTATACTCGGGTCTGAAAGCTCACCCCGGGCGGCCCGGGAATGCCAGTAAGAGCCACCATCAGGGGCCGCCCAGGCCAAGGCCGGCACTTGCCGCTGCATGACAGCCCTGTGACCCTCACATCGGGAGGAGCGCGCTTCCCCCCAGGTGAGAAGGACAGAACTGGGGCCGTGCACCCTGGTGCCGAGCAGGGGAGAGCGGCGGGCCGCATTACCACCTCCAGGGCCCTGGCCACCGCACGCTGGGGGCCGCCGCTCCCTCCGACACGTCCCAGACACTGCAAAGGCACATGAAAAGGCGTGAGGCCAGACGGCCCTCCTCAGGGCACAGGGGCCACACCAGGAAGGCAGGCCCCCAACTCAGACAAGGCGAGGTAATGCCAGTGTTTCTGACCCAAGCTCCAGGACCAAAGCTTCGCTGGGTCTGAAAAGTTCTAATTCTGTGGACCTGCCTTTAGAAACGGGCTGGGGACAGAGTTACGCACCGCCCCTTCCTCCCGCGGACACTGTGGGGCTCAAGACCTGGTGCTGGTACCTGCCTGCTCCCAGCCTTGGGTTAGTTAACGAGCCTCTCTGAGCCTCCGCTTCCCGCCCGGCTGTGGGGCGGGCTGGCCGTGAGGATTACGTGTTAACGTCAACGCTTAACACAGAGCAAGCGCCAGGCAGCTCCCGTGGCGCGAACGATGGAACTTTCCCACCCGGTGGAGGTGGCTGTGCCAGGCCTCTGGGGACGGAGGCTGGGGACACAGCGTGAGGTCACGTCGTCAGAAGGGTAAACTCATAAAGCAAAAACCGTACAAATGCCACCGTCATGGGCTAAACCGCGACCCTCTCAAACTTCTCACATTGAAACCCTAACCCCAGTATCTCAGCTCTATGTGGGGACGCGGCCTTGCAAGGGGTGACTCGGTTAAAATGCGGCTAGTACAGGGGACCCTACTCCAATCTGACCAGCACCTGTACAAGAGAAAAACTGGACGCCAGGGGTGCACACACACGGGACAGCCATGGGAAGACACAGCAGGAAGGTCGAGGAGAGACTGCAGGAGAAACCAGGCCTGCCCACGCCTGCATCTCGGACTCCAGTGTCGAGGATGCAGGGATAAATCTCTGGTAAGTCGCCTGAGCTGGGGTGCTTTGCTATGGCAGCCCCAGGTGACCCCAGCTGATGCGTAAAGCCACATGCGTTCCCGACTGCCCAGGGAAGGGTGCGGAGCTTCGAAGGCCGCACCTCCCAGCAGGTTGTAGGCCCCTCCCCCAGCCCACAACCCAGTTCTCGCCTGCCCACAGCGTAGAACTGTACCACTGCCCTATTTCACACTTAAACCTGAAACTGCAGGGACCTTCCAGGCTGACCCAAGGTGATCTACCTTCTCAAAATCCTCCCAGGGCTGCCTCCCCATCGCCTTCAGGGGCTCAGGCCCTGCAGGGGCCCAGCACCCACCCTCTAGCCACACATACACCTGCTTCTCTTTCCACAACTGACCCCTACCCATCTGCAGAGACCCCACTGCCTGTCCCCCCGGCTTGCCCGTGACACCCCCGGCAGATGGGGTACATTTCAGGGCCGGGGCTCAATCAAGTCTTGCTCAAGGAATGATCCGAGGAGAGTCCCCACCAAGGGTCTGAGGGGCTCATGGGGCTTTCAGAGGACACGGCCAGGCAGTCCCAAGCAAGGGCTGACAGAAGACAGCACGGGGCCCCGCCTGGAGAGGTGACGTCACGGTGCCAGAGGTCAGCAGGAAGGAGTTGCCAGGAGCTGGAACTGGTCGGTGAGGGAGGAGCCCTCCCCCAGAAAGCACACATGACAGAGGACAGGGAACAGCAACCGCCGCTGGGACAGCCCGCCGGAAAGCCTGCGGCGGCGGCACTCACCAATCAGCGTCTTCAAGCACTGGCCAGAGGCGGTGTCCCAGATCCGACTGCAACGCAAAAATAGGAAGTTTTTACAAAGCAAGTCAGGATGAGCAGCTCAAGGCGTTCTGGCTCCTAAGCAAACCCTGATTTTGAGACTAACACACAATGGGCCATATTTCAGTTTTCTTTACTGTTCCGCTCCATCATTCCTTCAGCAACGAGGTCCCCGCCCTGGGGCCAGAACGGGCGCCGCGTGGACCATGCACACTGCTCACCTGCTGTGCTCACAGGGCCCCCGCGTGTTCTCATGCGCTCCGCCACAAGAGGCATGGTCACCGAGACGGGGACAACAGAGGCCACGGCCGAGGGCGCCAGGAGCCCACCCTGTTCTCCAGCACAAACGTTCCAAGCACGCGGTTGCTCGGGAGTTTCCGCAGAACTAGAGCATCGTATGGGATCTTCTGGATGTTCCTCTAGTTCAGGAGCGAGAGAACGTATTCAAGGAGCTGCTGCCCCAGAACGGACGTGCCAGTTCGAGCGTGTCTGTGACTTCCGTCCACGCAAACATCTTCAGCAGCAGACGCGCGTGTCGCCTGCCCCTCCACAGCACAGACGCCCAGCAGCGGGGACACTGGCTCACAGGGTGCCACCTGACCTTCCTAACGTCCTCTCCCAGCTTCCCACCCCCACTAGGGGACGCCCTGGCCCGGGGCAGTATCCTGCATCACTGGCCGCAGGGCACCCTTCCGTGCTAACTCCCTGACCGCTGGGGGTGGGCGCGGGGGCCGGCAACCTGCTCCCAGGACCGGCTCCACTCTGCCTGCCCCACCAGGCCCTTCTTCTGGGAAGGAGTCCCCCTCTGCGGCAGGCACCCATCGGGGCTGGGTGCTACAGTGACAGGGCCTCAGGTTCGCTGTCCAGGCAACAGCAGGCCCCCGGCCGCCGGTTCTCCTCCCCCTCCCGGCAGCAGCTCAACTACATTCCCTCCAGGTCCTAAGTCTGCTTCCTCTCGCTGCAGAAAGGCCGAGGGGGGCCCTCCATGGAACCGCCCAGTCTGCCAGGCCAGGGTCCCCAGCAGGGGACGTGCACACACCGCGTCCTCAACCCCCAGCTCTCGCTGCTTCCTGATCCTTTAGTTGCACTTTGTCATTTTCTCCACGGGGTCCTCCACTTCCGTTAGACGTACCCTAAGTTCCCTCACATCTCTGCCACCATTCCCACGCGTCTGCGCACTGCTGACGCCCAGTACTGAGGAAGGCTGTCCGTTTCCAGACCTTCACCTCCCCAAACACTCAGTCATAGTTTGTAACCAGCAGGGCCTGGCGGTTCAGAGCCGGGGTGCCGGAGCCCGCCGCGTGGCACAGATTCCGGCTGCCACCCACCCACCCACGCCGCTGGGGACAACCAGCGAGACTTCAGCCTGCCTCAGCTCCCCCCCGCCGAGTGGGGATGGCGAGGCCGGGGACAGGGCCGCTGTGAGGGTGGAGTCAGTGCTGATCAAGTGCCGTGTCCGTGACTCCTAACTCTCGAAAAACAGACCCTCTACGAAGAGATAAAGCTCTATCCCGCTAACTAGGAGCTCCAAACACCCTGAATGAGGGGCAGATGGGCGTGGTTTGCTCCTGATTTAACTAGAAACGTTTTTAGCACACGTTACCACACGTTGTAAACGTTACGAAACTTCCAGTGAACAGTTTGCCACACCGTTAGAGTCTCCACTGGGAGTGCCTGCCCGGCCTCTGCCAGTGACACATCACGGAGATTTGCCTTTGTTGACACAATACATCAGATTACAGACTTCCTGATGTCAATCGCTATTACAACCCTCTCACTGTTCGAGAAACCCACGTAGTCATGGACTACTATTTTCTGAGGCACTGCTGGAATCAGCTTGCAAATGGCTCCTTTGGAATTCTGACATCGATATTGCTGAGTGAAGCATCCTCCATGGATTTCTTTCCAGACTCACTACGGAGCTTGGGGAGGAGGGTCACACTAGCTCCATCAGGGGCATCAGATGAGGGGCCCCCACCTTGTTCTGTGGTCGGAACAGGTTCCCAGCCTTGGAAGTCCAGGATCCAGCTCAGCTCCACTGGCCGGGCACAGACCTTCCTCAGCCAACTCAGCAAACGGGAGCTCCCCAAACGTGCCCCATTCTCCCCTCCCCTCCCCAGAGCCTGCTACGTCTGCACCCCACTGCCTCCATCCTGCTCATCTTCCGTTTCCTTACTGGAGCTTCTAGGGTTAACTGCTGGGCTGGCCTCAGTAAGTACACAGCTTTGTAATTTTTCTCTTACTTCTCCCTCTTCTGTAGAAAGCTTTCAAAGCCTGTCCATGGGCAACCCCGAGATCGTTCCAGGCTCGCGGGACACAACGTACGCTATGCTGCGCACATAGCAAATACACAGCCACGGGGTCGCTCAGGTCTGGACGCTCTCCTGTCGACGTCTCGAAGCCGCGAAGCGATGCGTCCCGCCCCACTGTCCTCACGGCCCCAGGCCCCGCGTGCGCTCGGGGTGGCTCTGTGGCTGCGGTGCACGGGCCTCTCCTGCCAGCTATGCATGGCTCGCTCTGCGTCTCCTCGGGGGTGGGGGTGACGACACATGCTCCGTCTGTAAGTCCCGCTGACTCGGACGCTGCTCTGTACTTCGCGCCCGCCGACGCCGTTCGCTCACCCTTTGGTTTCTCACGCAACCTGACAGACTGCAGCAAGGGTGTCCGGAGGCCGCGATGATGCCCAGTGCGGCGCATTTCACTCCTTCCGTGGCATTTTCATTAGATGATTTATGTTTCCCCACTTCCTCTTTCTTGTTTCCTTTTTGCTAAATATAGACTGATTCCTAGCCTTGCTTTTGTTCTCTCTCATAACTGGGAAGCTCCTCTCGGGTCATCATGCAGCTGGGGGCCGCTACCCACCGGCCTCCCCGCAGTGAGCAGCGAGCACTCCGGACGGGCAGGAGGCTGTCCCTGCCCGTGTGCCCCCGGCACAGCGTCTGCCGACTTAAACGGACATTTCCTTCTACACCCTCTCTCGTGCCTCCGACAGAATCCTCAACACTTAGGTTACAGACTCCAAGCTGTCCAAGCATTACTCAGTCAGGCTACACAGGACATTCCACATGAAACCACGTCCCCCCTTCCTCCTCACCTCCTCTGTGGCAGGATTTCCACGCCGCATCCTCCACGGGACGTGAGGCTGGTCCTGGGCCCGCATGCCCCCGGCGCCCACAAGGAGCGGAGTCTGGAGCAGGAGCGCCTCCCCGGCCTCCCTGCACCAGCAGCACCCCCTCCGGCCATGCGTCTGTCCATCTGCCACAGCCCACGACAGCAGAAGCCCCTCGCGGGGACAGGCTTCCTCCTGCCCCGTTTTCACTGCTGTCCCGCAGAGGCCAGAACACGGCCTTTACATAAACGTGCTGAGTCAATGAGGTAAATGTCTTCACTTACCAGAGACCGTCGTAGCTACTGGACACTATCAAGGATCCGTCCCGATTAAAATGAACCTGAGAACAGAGTGGAGGGAAAAAAGACACTTACTTCCAAGTGGTCCACACAGACTATGCGGCCCTGCCCACCTGAGCAGCCCTCCTACTCACAAGTGCCTTTGACAAACACGTCGTCTTCCTAACACTGACGAAGCAACGGAGCCACTATGCGCTTCAAACTCTACGGATTTCCTGCCGACGCTGACAGATACTCGAGCGGCACAGATAAAGTGATTTTTACCAGGTGTCTCAAGCAGCAGGCCCTCTGTTTCACAATGGATGACTAAACTTAGAAGAAAAACCAACCCCAAACACGTCGTGAGCAGCTAAATCGCTTACTACAAAATGTATCCTCGAAAAGAAACAAATGGAACCAAGTGACCAAGCCCAAGAGAGAAGAGGCTGGGCCTGGAGAGCCCGTGCCTGCATGCATCTGCTGCTGCCATGGAGGCAGCCTGACCAGGGCGACCTGGCCGAAAACCACCTCTCCTGACCTCACATTAAACCAAGAAAAACCCACCTGTTGGGTAACCACCGGAAGAATGCACGCAGGCACGTCCCCCTGCCTGCCACGAGGACCGGGAACCTCAGGCACCCGGGCGCCCGACATCCAGGCTGCTCTGAACCCCACACCTCAGAGCGGGGGTGACTCCCCCGTGGGCTGGTCCCCCGGGCACGACTGGCCTCCACTCCCCGCACCTTCTGTCACCCGGGGGCCCAGCCCCCTCCGCCCCCGTGGCCACACACGCCTCCACAGCCAAGCCTCGGTCTCACAACTAAACCATCTTCGAGTTTCTTTCCTGCTTTCCCGGTGGAATCCCAGCGGAAGTAAAGGAACCACGATGTCAGATGAGACTATCGCCAACTTCTACCTTTTTTATTTCAGTCCTCGGCAGAGTTTATCCAGGATAAGCCTTTTTATAACAACAAGCACCTTGCTGAAACCGGCTCGCTCCCTGCTACCCGTGCCACGTTTTCCACGTGAGACTGCACGGCACAGGGGGTGGGGCGGGCCCGTGGCCGCCTGCTGGGTCAGTTGGCCTCCACCCTGGCGCCACCACCCCACCAGCCCAGTCTCTCCGGCCACAGGGCTGCCCATGTGGCTGCACCTGCCCGACTCACAAGGGCCAAGCTGCCTCCAGACACTGCTGGACGTTCCCAGGGGCCGAGCCACGCGCCCAGGAGCTCCTGAGAGCTCGTTCCACTGAGCGCCAGGCCCCAGAGTGGCTGACACATTCTCAGTGGATGCGGGTGACACGGGGCCAGGAGACACAGAGAAGCTGTGGTCTAGAGACTCAGGCGCCGCCCGCCACAAGGACGATACTCTAGTAGCTGCAGCAGGAAGGTTAACAGGTGGGATGAACTTGGCTTTATTTAACCCAAAGTCTCTACGGTCCCACCCCAACATGTGACCGGTGTTGAAGTCACCCACGAGACGCTTCTGGCTCCCTTTTGTCCCACGGGACCGTTGAAGGCTGAGCACGCACAGCACACCTGACGCTCACGGCGTGTCTCGATCTGGGCTCCCAGCACTTCACGGGCTGCACCACGGCGCGCGGGTGGCAACCTCTGTGCCAGACCGCTGGGCCCCGCCTGCTCTCCAGGAGACACTCGAGAGGATTTTCTGTTGTCCTTCCATCCCCATCGGTGGTTTTGGCAGGACAGGCTCGCAAGCCAGCTACTTAACCATGACCACCCGCTTGTCAGCCCCTCAAGGTAACAGTCTTTCTAACTCGCTGCCATCTGTCCAACCACGTTCTCCCTTTCTTTGGGTTTGCAAAATACTCTATCACAGTCCACTATACCAGACACTAACGAGTTGACATGGGTCCCCGGAAGCTACCATGCCAACCTCATACTTTGCCTTGTTCCCAACCACATCGGGAACTCCCCACTGGCAAATGCAGCTTGGCTTTTCCATCCCACCAACGGTCAGGTGTGAAAGGCAACGAGGCCGCCCTACACATCCCCACAGTCAAAACGTAAGCACTACGAAGACACGAGAAAGGCAGCAAGTGAGACCCTACGGGGAATGCCAAGTCTGCACTCAGATGACAGTCACTCAGAGACCTCCCTCCGGCCGGGGGGAGGAGCACACCTGGCAGACAGGTGAGCTCAGACAAAAGCAGCGAAGCAGGAAACAGGGCGAGTACAAGGAAAATCCAGAGGCCGAGTGGCTGCAGCGAGGGCCAAAGGATGAGACAGACAGGAGGGCCCTTCCAGTGAGGAAGCCAATGCAGGAGGAGTCCGGGCGAGAGAGGACAGGGGCCACTCAGGTGGGAGGAAGGGCGGGGGTGGGGCAGCCCGCGGAGTACACGCCGTGAGGCTTCCAGCTCCTAGACGCATCTGCTAGAAAGCTCGGTGTGCCTCCTTCACACGACGACGCCCGCCGAAAGTTCGCGTGCAGAAACGGTACGCCGCGGGTGAAGCTGTCCAACGAAGATGCTCACTGCACTCCTGGCTGTGCAGCGCGAGTTACAAGCAAACACCCACTGGGTGCCTGGCACAGGCTGCCACTACCCCCCGGGGTCCGGGCACGGAGAACCCCTCCCACGGGGCCGCACAGCAGCCGTGCTGCACCCCCACCACCGAGAGGACATCCGGTGGAAGACACGGAACCGGAACGCGGGGACTAGCAGTGGGCCGGGGCGGGGGGTTGGCCTCAGGAGAGTCTGACTCTCTCCTCGCTACCTCTGTTTGCCTTTTCTTAAAGGAGTGCATCTACTTCCGTAGGAAATGCAAACTTTACAAACCCTACGACTGCGCAGGCGGAGAGCCCCCGCCCCCCAACTCGCACTCCTGCGACTCCTGACCTTCCTTCCGCTCGCGTCCCGGGTCCTTCCCACATTCGCCGCCATGCTCTCCTCGGACCGGAGTCCACAGCGGAGGGGAGAGCACCGGGCAGGCCGGGCCCCGTGTCCACAGCACACCGCCTTCCTCGGAGCCCCAGGCGCTGGCCGGGCCTCTGGGCGGCAAGGGCCCCTCGAGGCCACTGCAACCAGCGTGCGATACGTTCTTCTACGTACCCAGGCTCTGCAAGTGGTCTCGGCTGGGCAGAAAAGCCCTTCCGAGGCTGAAAATGCTTCAAATCACTCACCTACATGATTTCAGAAAGTGAAAAGGACCATCTGCTCAGTAAGAGTAAGCACACTGTTTACACGATCCCTTCCCCTTTCCAAAAAAAGGCACACTTGGCTAAGAAACAAGCCCAGGCTCTCTGCTGACAAAGAAAGGAATCTCTTGGCCACTTTCAAGTGGAGAGGTTTGTGATACAACGGATACTTTAACCACGCACACTCATCTTGCACACTGCTGGCGTGTGCACAAGGCAGGACGCGGAGCACACACAGAGGACGCTCGTGGGGCTTCGCCATCCACTGGCTCTCGCCCTCGGCCAGGTCATCTCAACCTCCTCCACCACCACCCCAGGATCAAAGCCAGCTCCACTCCGAACTCACTTCCCAATGCATGGCCCCCTTCCAGGCCTGGCCGCCCCACCTGTCCCACAGGATTCAGTTTGGGGACACCACACCCGGACCCTCGCCCGCCTGTCCTTTCACAGGCCCAGGACAGGGAGACCGCTCTCAGGGTCCCCAGGGTCCCCTCCCTGGCCATCACCCTGTCCTGCTGCGCGGTGTCCAGGGTTCAGTGGGACTTACAGCTGAGACCGGGTCCGAGTGTGCAGGCAGAGTCTTGAGACACTTCCCTGTTTTCACATCCCATATCCTCACACTTTCATCAAACTGAAGACAAAAGAAGAGGTTAAGGCCATTCCATACAGAGGGGGAGATGACCGGTCCGCTGGAACCCAAGACCTGCCACCACCACCCCCTCATCCCCCAGCATGACAGAGAAGACTCAAGGCTCAACTCCCAAGCCCCTGGCTACAAAGTACTGCCCCCCACGCCCGGAGGCATCGCACTTACAGAGCCCGAGACGATGAGGTTGGACTGGGGGTTGAAGTTACAGCAAAAGACGTAGTTACTGTGCCCCTTCAGGGTTTTCAGACACTTTCCCTAAAACCAAGTATTGTCAGACTAAGTTACTCCCAGTGGTTATTTCAACACCGAGCCCACAGTGGCCCGATGGCACATCTCCCACCAAGCGGGGCCGCCCATGACCAGCTGGTCCCCAGACCGCCCTCAGACTCCCACACCGTGCCCCCTGTCCACGCACAGGGGCTCTGCCGGGAGGGAGGCCCAAAGCAGCTTACCGAGCTCACGTCCCAGATCTTTAGGGTTTTATCATCTGAGGCGGAAACGAGGAGGTTGGAATCTGACGACCAGGCCACATCTGATATCCCCTGGGGAGCAAAAACACAGGGTCACCACTTTGACGGGACAAAATACAGTGAACCAGCAAAGGTCAGAACATCCGTCTAAAGATAAATAAGCACATGGCTCCACTATCCAAACCCTCTAGCTACTCCCGACCACACAGACAGAACACTACGTGGTCCCCAAAGGAGAAGCGTGTTTTCTTGCAGTTAGGATGAAACTTTTCTGGAAGGTCAAAAGTATTTGCTTAAAAAACAAGAGGCAAACAACTATCAAAAAACTCAGGCGGGGTGGGGGGAGCTTAGATCTTAACCTGAGGAGCCCTGCGGATGGGCCCCACCCCCCTGGACCAGTGGAGCTACAGTGGCCTGCCGCCAACCTCAGTGTGCAGGGCTCACACCTACCAGCTTGTGACCAGATATGGTTTTCTCGAATTTTCCGTCATACGCTCCCCAAATTTTAATGAGTTTATCAGCAGCTGAAAGAAAAGAAGACAAAGGAAATGGGGTGCTTCAGTCATCCTGAGTACAAAATCTGGGCTTCCCACAACAAGCGTCCTGGTAACAGTGTGAATCCCTCTGGAACCCACGTGAACAGGCTCCATGCAGAGGGAACAGCCAGGGCTCGGACACATGCTGCCCGCGCTCTTCCCCTCTCCCCCAGGCCCATCACTTCAGAGCAGCCAAGCGCCCCAGTCAGGGCGAGGGGCACACGCCTTGCTGCAATGCCCCAGCGGCAGCGTTAGGAAGCAAGCCCTCCCACTGTCCCGGGCTTCTGGTTGCAGCTCAGACGGCCCCTGGTAAGAGCTGAGGCCCTGGTGATACGTACATGAACTTGCCAGCCACTCCCCGTTCGGGCTGAATTTCACAGAGGACACGGCTTTCGTGTGGCCAGCCAGGGTGAATTTTAGAGCATAGTTTGGTTTGACAGGGGTAGGCTGTTGAAGAGACAATACCAGTCATCAAACACTAGCCACTGTGCTGGTTTCAAGCTCAGACCCACCTCCTGAGCTCCAAATCCATATTCCAAGGGCCTACTAGACTCTCTGGAAGTCGCCCTCCAAACTGGACAGGTTTAAATCTGGGCTATTTCCCCTCCATAGCCCTGCTTCTCCTGTAGCCCCCTCTTCAGTGCCCCCACTCCACCAGGCCAGCTCAACACGGAGGCCCCTCAAGGCCACACCCCACCCTCAACGAGACCGGAGGCACCATCTGACACGGCCGCAGCCTTGCTCAAAGGCCCACGTGTGCTGCCTGGTGTCCACCAAAGGGGTTGGCAAACCTGCCTGGGAACCAGAATTGTGGAACCAGGGAGGGGGCTTCATGAGAGGCTTTCTAGGTCCCACAGAGAATCTTACAATCGGGACCAAGGATCTATGTTTTTGATAAAGCCCCTTCCCCAGGGAACAGGTCTGGACGTCCCCAGCACAGTAAACAAGCACCGAGTAGGTATGTGCTCGATGAATAAAAATGCAGTGTCTGAGGTAGAAGCATCTCCGAGGAGTGTTCAGCCTAGGCACCCCCTGACAGTTCCCCCAGAGCCCTCAGGGACGTGCCTTGCTCTGTGCGGCCGAGGAGGAAGGGGTGGGCTGTGCTCTGGCGGCCTCTGTCTCTGGCTTCTTCTCCTCCGTTGCCATGGCTCTACAGCCCACCAGGCAGGGGGACACGGGCAGAGGAGTTCACAGCTCCACTCGAAGACTCCCAGTGCAAAGAACTGTCTGCTAATTGAAACCTACAGGGGGGACTGAGACCAATGAACAAACCATATTTTACAAGTTAATTCCCAGAAAAAAGGATGAAAAACCTTTGCCCACCTCGCTTGGCCCTGTAGCAGACACACTGTTCCAGATGAACCTATCCTATCTGTGGGCCTAACTCAGCACTAACGCTCTTTAGATGCTAAAACAGCCTGCCCTGGCCCCTTTTGTCAACGGAATCCCAGGCCCCACCTTCAAGGGTGCTCCCTACTGTCATCCTTGTCAGAAGGAATGCAGCCCATCTAGGCAAACAAAACACAACTTTCTTCAAAGAGCCCTTGAAACGTAAAAAAAAAAAAACAAAAACCAAACCAACCAAAAGTGCAGGAGACTGAGCTTCAGGGTGTAGAAATTTGGGAACTCATCCAAATCCTCACAAATGATGCAACAGGGCTTAACTGCCATGTTTGAAAATATACAAGAGGAGACCCCCAGTGCTCCGCACCTCCCAGGGGCTTCCCTGTCGCCGGGTGCAGACACAAGGCTGCCTCCAGAACCCTAGCAGCTCAAAAGGCGCCCTGTCCCTGGTGAGGCAACTACAAAACGCAGCCAGGAAGCGCGACCCAGGGCCAGCCGTGCCTGCTTGCTGAAGCCTGAAGTGTACACAGATCGGCTGCAAGCAAGCTCGCGCGCTGCAGGAGGGGAAAGACTGCAGCTCAACTAGGTTTCAGCGTGACAATGGGAGCTACCCGTACAGCGAGCGACTCAGTTTGCTGTCACACAGGATTCCAGAACCTGGATGTGTCTCCCAGAAGCACACCTGGTGACCCTGAAACGGGGGGGGGGGCCACCACGGACAGCATCCTCACAGACATCGCTGGCCATCCAATTCCCGGACGTGTGCACTACCGTTAATCTAACGAGTTTACAGTGTAAATTCTAGCTTGGCACTTAAAACCGAAAGCCTGCACGACTCCTTGTCACACCAAGGGAAAATGGAAGCCATCAAAAAAGAACATGTCTCAAAGTCTTCATCCAAGAGGAAGGAAGAGAAATTACAATGCAACACAGCCGTGCAGAACACAGATGTGGCCCCTGCTGGCTACCTGTAGCAAGGACTCCTACCCAAGGATGGATCGCGCTGCGCCCAAAGCCCAAGTACCAGAGCGGGGGAGGGGCAGGTCGCATAATGGCACCCAGGGACAGAAGTGCTGGCACAAAACTGGTGTTCAGTAAATGCTAGCTGCTTGGTGATTAAATTTAGTGCAACCTGGCAGTGCCTATTAACCCAAGTGCTGCCCTCCCCTAGGTGGGATGGACAAGTGGGGTGGGGGGAGCTAAGGAAAACAGCTGGAATGGGGCACCTGGGTGGCTCAGTCGTTAAGCGTCTGCCTTCAGCTCAGGTCATGATCCCGGGGACCTGGGATCGAGCCCCGCATCGGGCTCCCTGCTCCGCGGGAAGCCAGCTTCTCCCTCTCCCACTCCCCCTGCTTGTGTTCCCTCTCTCGCTGTCTCTCTCTCTGTCAAATGAATAAATAAATAAAATCTTTAAAAAAAAAAAAAACAGCTGGAAAGACTTTCACAAAACCTAACATCTGAAGAAGGTATCAGCAGAGCTAAATGAGGTGTGGGGGAGAAACTGCACTGGGAACAGAGAGGCCTCCTCTGGGGTAAACAGGGCAGCTCAGGGAGCCCAGAGCTGCTCCTTTTAACATAAAAATTGAGACCCACCAGGAGGTGGGGTGTGACTCCCAGCAAACTACCTGCCCTCAGGTGAGGACCAGGGAATACATCAGACCATCTCACAGAAAAGGTGTCGAACCCCTCCCAGCTCAAACCCAATCCGCCAATCCCTTGGGCTCGCAAAACATTAACATGCAAAAAGTCAGGGGGACCCTAAAGAAGACAATTTCTTGCCTCAAGGCCCCTGGTTTCCACTTGAGAGGGAGAAAAGCCTTGCATTTTCCATTAACACTCAGGTGACTCTGGGGAAGCAACTGGGCAGCAGGTTAGGTACTAGCTCCTCAAGGAATCCAAGAAGGTAAAGGCAACTGTGCTGTGGGGAAGGCCTCCAGAGCACGTGCTACCTGCCCCCTCTCAACACTCACAGGTCTTTCACCCAGGTGGGCCTGACCACCCAAGGCTGAGCCTCCCAAACCTGAGTGCTCGCCTGCACTGCTTGTAAAATGCAGTTTCCTGGACTCCACCCCAGAGACTGGGCCCACAGGTGAGGTAACCTGATGACTTGCAGGTGGTCAGACCAAAAGAGTGAGGGGGAACGCCGCTCTCCCCACCTGTTCTGCAGCCGGCTTCCATCCTAGCTTACCTATCAGCCTTCTAGGGGACCGGGCCAACCTCAGAGGCAGCGTCTGGCACAACACCTGCCAGTGTGTCTGAAGGGCTTGATAAACGGACCTGGGTGGGTAGAAACCGGTATGAGAAGCTTAGTAGGGAGCGTCTTGACATCACCCAAGATGGCTCACACCAGACTGGAGGTGGTGCGAGGCGCTATGGAAGGAGCCGGGGTCTCTCGCTGCGGGAGGGCGAACCGCACCTGGGGAGCCCGGCTTCTCAGGGGAGAGACAGGGCCTGGCTGCCTGGGCTGAGGGCGAGCAGCAGATCGGGGTAGGGGGCGTTTCTGCAGAAAAGGAGAGCAGGCTGGTCTGCGCGCCACGGCCAGGCACCAGTCGGTGGGTCTGGGGTCTTTCTTTAGACGAGCAGCGGAGAGCAAGGGGAGACGCGAGCTGGCTGCTGGAATTAAGTCACAGTCCCCGGGCTGAGGGCTTGTCACCCGGCCGCTGGGGGAGCGAAAGCTGGGGAGTGGCTGCACGGGTGGGCGCTGGGGGTCCCCGGGAGGTACGGTTGGGGAGGGGCTCCGGGACCCGAGTACGGGGAGGGGGCCGCCGCCGGGGGCCGGGTGCGAACGAGGGGCGCAGAGCGGGCACCCGGAAGGGAGACGGTGGGGGCGCGGGGCGCCTGCACGGGGAGGGCCCGGCGGCGCTGGGCCGGGACCTGGGCCTGGCCCGCCGGAACACGTGCGGCGGCGGGGCGGCCCGAGGGGCAGCCGGCGTCGGCCCCCGCCCGCACCCCGGCTGCGGTCCCCGGGCTGGCGGCCCCGCTTACCTGCCGGCCGCGGCGGCGGGGCGGGCGCTCGGGGCGTCGCGTCGCCGCCGCCTGGGCGGGAGCCGGGCCGAGCTGGACGAGGCGGCGTTGGGGGGGGGCGGGGCGCCGGCAGTGCGCGTGCGCAAGGGGCGGGGCTGCGGTGGGGCGGGGCGAGCGCACAAAGCCGGCCTCTCGGAGGGGCACTACGGGGAGCGGCGAGGGGCAGAATGCCTGGGGCAAGCCCAACGCCTTAAAGGGACGCTTGCGGAGCGCACTTTCCTCTGCAAAGCGGTAACCTCAAAGTTGGCCGGTGTAGGTCGTTCTTCTTGGGCACTTTCTAAAAACGGAAGTATGACGATACCTCCAGGAAAGTGCCAGTGTGCCCCTCGAAAGTTCACCTCCTGAACAGGGCCTGCAGCGGCGCCCCCAGGAAGCAGCAGGGCTCGCCCCTGGGAGTCGAGGGGCGGCAGGTCCCTGACGTTTCTTGTGGGACCCTCACTCCGGGACCGCGGCCCCCCTTCCCCGTGGCGCACGCAGCTGACGGCGGCAGCCAAAGCGTGCACAGCTGCCAGCGCGGGCTGGTCTCTCCACGCGTGTGTAGCACCTCGGCCGATAGGGTCCCATTCCGCCCCCCTCCCGGAAGCGAGGACCCTGAGCCCGCAGGGTTGGGGGCGTCGGCCCCCGCACTCCGCCTCCCGGCCCCCCAGCCCTCCCGCATGCCCGGCTGTCCGCCCGCAGAGAGCCCCGGTCAGGGACAGTCCGTACTTGCAGTCACCGCGTGCAGGCAGCTCTGCTGTCTGCAAGGTGGGGTCCCAGACAGTATGTCACCGCCAGCTACAGATGAGGAAGGGGAACCCCTAGAGGGGAGGGCTCGGGCAAAAGGAGAAGCTGGAGCCCGTGTTCTGGCCCCAAGTCCTGTGCATTCTCGTCCTTCACCCCCCACTCCCGCTACCCATGTGGGTCTTACAGTCTTGGAAGTGGTCTTGGTCTCCCCAGCTCCGCGGCCCCAACCTAAGCTGCATAACCTGCAGTCTCATTTCCCAATTAAAGATGGAAACACCGAATATGTCCCGGGAACCCGTGCCAGCAAAAGAACAGCATTTGAAATGGAAATGCCCAAGGAACGAGGTGTGTGGTTATCATGGACACAGGAGCTGAGACAGGCGCTCCAGGGGCCCAAAGTCTCTGGCCCTGGCACAGCTCTGGGTGGATCTCTGTGCCTGGGAGCCTAGTCACCTTGAGCCACCTTTGTTACAGAAGTTAACAAAACCAGCGCATGATGAAGAAGGACATCTCCTGCCACCTGGCCACTTGGGCTGGAAACTGAGCCCATCATGGACACCCCTCCTTCACCTCTTGGCTGTCTCAGCCATCCATTTCTCTCCATTCTTGCTCCAGGTTTTGTATTCCAGAGGGCCTTTTCCAAACCTTTCTGAAGCACAGTCAGAACTAAGACCCCCAACGCTGTGATCTGTCACCCCCTGATCTAAGCCTCAGAGCCAGCTTCCCATTGCTCTCATGTCCAAATCCAACATCTGCTGGTGGGGTTTACCAGACTCCCCTCTCTAGCCTAGCAACACCCCCAAATCCATGCACCCCAGATCCCAGCCCCAAATCAAAAATACCTCCAACCCTCCATAACCCAGAACTCAGAACTCAAACCGGGTTCCCAAGGAAATTGGTCTTGCTTCCCTCCCCCCAGGAGACAGAGCCTTCCCGTGAAAATGAGGAAATCCTGGTAAGTGCTCTTGCAACCCATCCTTGCGATCATAGCTGAAATACTACAACCAAATGACGCAGCAGGTAAAGCAATTTAGCAAAAGCAGGAGCTTTGCTTTATTGGCGAAGTTTTAAATCCTTTTATATCCCTTCAGAAATGTGGTCGGGCTCAGAAAAAATCACAGGTAGAAATGGAAGAGAGGATAAAAGCCACGGAGAAGGGGAGAGCATTTTGGAGATTTGTTTTACCGGAACATTACCTGTGCTTTGGCCAACGGGAACTAGTTGGTAAATGAACCTGTTTCCATGAACAGTGTTTAGAAAGACAACGTTTCTCAAGACTGTCTCATCAAGCAGAGAGTTTGGACCTGTCTGGGCACCCTCCCCACTCGCCCAGGTCCCTCCACCAGGCACGCCACAGCACTCATGGCAGGTGGCACCGGGAAGCGGGGAGGAGGAAGACGCCGCGCGCCCCGAGGCTCCACTCTCTGCTAAGTTTGTTGCCTGTGTTATCTCCTGCACCTTCACAGCAAGCCTGTGAAGGGGGTGACTTTATTCCTTTTCCCGGTGAGGGAACTGAGTGTGAGAGGTTGAGAAGCTGCCCAAGCACCCTCAGGCAGTAGGCACAAGCATGGAAGTCAGTGCTGGCTCCAGGCCGAGCACACACTCCCGGGCAGCACCCTGACGATGCACACTCGGTGGCGGCTGGATGGACACGTGGGTAACCGATGGGGAGATGGATGAGTGAATAAGTGAGATGCACGTGCTGAAGGGAGAGCAAGCTCTGTCAATGGAAGCGGTCCGGTCTGCAAGGGTCGAGGACGGAGGCAGAGCCAAAACCGCCGACATCACTTTCTTAGAGGGCACAAAGCTTTTGGAAAACCGTATTTGGTCACCCGGTGATAAAGATTTCACCAGGCATGGTGCATTGCCATGCTTGGGAGGGCATGGTGGGAGGCGGCAGGATCGCTGTGTGCTCCCTGGTGTGGGGGGGTGGGGGCGGAAGGAAGCACTGGTCCTTTAATGGCCAAGCCCAGAGCTTTGGATTCAGATGGCAGTTGATGAGGGAGGGTTGTGGAAGGCGAGGGACAAGGGGATGCCTGGGGCCCAGGGCTTCCAGGAGCTGTTCACCAGCTTTCCAGACTAGCCGGCCCACCTCCGCTGGGCCACCATTCCAGGGGGCTGCTGACACTACCCAGAGACCCCAAGGCTCCCACCAGCCCAGGTCAGTGGGGTTTGTGTGCATTCCTTTTCTCCTGGTAACTATGCCAGGGCAGCCGGTTTGGGAGACTTAGGTCCCCATTTCCCCTCCTTGGGCTCTGCTCTCCCTTCCCCTGGCCCTGCCCGTGGTCCAGCAGGACAGGTGTTTTGCCCAGCATCCCCCGGGTCCCAGTGGGCCTTCAGCTACCCTGGGTCAGAATGGCCACTCCCAACCCCAGTCTCCAGAAAATCCTTTCTCATCCTGGCTGTGCTACCAGCCTCTCCCTCCCCAGTCTGTTTCCCAGGTACAGAGAGAGCAGGTAGGACTGGGTCCTAATGTCAAATGCCCTCCTTCTTTGGCCTTTGCCCAGTGTGCACCTCCCCCATGTCCCCTCCCTTCACTCCCAGGCCGTCACTCCCGCAGGCTACTAAGCACCTCAGCCTCATTACCCTGCATCACCTCCCCTCCTGGTGCCACCCCCCCGAGGGGGACAGAGAGCCCAGTTTGCCTGGCCCGTCCCATTTTAGAGATGAAAGCGCCCATTCCCTGCAGGCCCCCGTCCCAGGGTAGCCAAGACACAGGCACTGTCCCCTTCCTCGAGGACACCAGGCTCAGCCCTAGGTTGCCCACATACTCTGTCCCTTCCAGTCCCTACGGGCGTCCCTACCGGCACCATGGCCCTGGACCCGCGTCAGGGTCCATTCACTTGTCCACCACCCTCACTATGGGCTCACGGGAGCAGGGACAACCCGTTAGGGCCTCAGTGCCTGCTGGGAGGGGCATACAGTAGGTACCCAATAAAGACCCTCTGAAGGAATGAATCCTGGAATATTTGCTTTCACTTCCTGCTGGATTTAAGTCTAACCTACTGTTGCTTCAAAGCCCCCACAACTCAACCTATCTGCCCTCAGCTTCCACCCTATCAGGGCCTGGAGGTCTCCCGGGAGGGGCCCCTCCAGGTGGTGCTGGGTGCAGAGCACCCGTCTGGCCCCCAGGCCAGGCTGGGCGGGTCGCCTAGCAGGAATCCCTGGAATGCGGCTCAGACTTCCAATGCCAGGCCCCACCTGTTCCGGTCTGCAAATCCCCTCCCCACCTCCCGCTGGGCTAATCCCCCCGGTTAGAGAGGGGTCCCGACCAGCGAGCGGGGAGGATTCAGCTCCTGTGACAGGCCCGATGGAAATCAGGGGTCTGAAACGCGGGCTGGTTTCAGAGGCTGTAGATGGGGGTGGGGGTGGTATTAGGCACCAGTGGTTTACCGGGTCTTTTCTCTGGAATGTCAGTGTGGCTGCCAGCGATCCACCTGTGTGGCCCTGTCACGTCCAAGTGTTTCCATTTGTCCAAGTTATTAACCACCACCCCTCCCCCGCAGCTGTTCTTCCTCAGCGCCTA